TATCCCTGGCGTGACCAGCCAGGAGTACACCACGTCCCGGGGATAGACACAAAAGCCAGCGCCTAGAAGACGATCAAACACTAAATCCAAAGCCCTCCTGTGCAGGATGCTCATTGAAGCCTTAATGTCAATCTTTTCTGCCCTGTACTCTAAAATGTCATTAACATTTTATTTTAAAACAAAGAACTCTTGTGCAATGGCAGGTTTGTGTGAGCAGGGTCCAGGTTGCAGCCCTTGCGTTTCAGCAGAATGGACATTGACTTAGCCCTCAGCCTTCCAAGCAGGTTGCTGTTCCTGCCAGCCAGGAAGCTGACGTCTCTGTCCCTGTGGAATGTGTGGAGAATGAGGAGGGTGAGGGTGTGTGTGTGTGTGTGTGTGTGTGTGTGTGTGTGTGCATGTGCGTATGTACATGGAGGTCAGAAGTCGCTGAGTGTCCTGCTCTATCATACACCACCTTATCTTTGAGATGGGGTCTCTCAATGAGGCTGGAGCAAGGCAGGCAGCCAGCAAGTCCCAGGAATCATCCCATCATGCCTGGCTACATCCCAGTGCGGTTGCTGGAATCTGAACTCAGTCCTTACGTTTACCCAGCAAGCTCTCTTCCCCACTGAGCATGGTCTCCAGGCCTCTGTGCTATTGGCAATGAGCTAGCTAGTACAATTCTTTCTTACAGGGCAACATGGCCCGTGGGACATCAAACATTTGGCGGCCTCAGTGATCTCTACCTACTAGTGAGCCAGGATGGAGTGGAACAGCCCTGGCTGGAGCCTGTTCTAGTCAGGTGAGCATCTGGTAGCTGCTGATGCAAATGACCCATTTGTGTCTCACAACTGGGGGATGGGGGCGGGGACAGGAGTTCTAGGACTCCTCCTTCAGAACCAGAAGCCTGGAGTCTTCAAGGGTCTGTTCCTGCTTCCTTTCTTGTCTTCCCATCCTTCTTCCTCCCTCCTTCCTTCCCAGATTTGAGGACAGAGTTCAGGGCAAGCCCTCTAACCCTGAGCTAACACCTAAGCTTCCTCAGTCGTCATCTTCTACCTCTTTATTTACTTATTTCCTTTTTTTTTTTTTTTTTTTTTTTTGAGACAGGGTTTCTCTGTGTAGTCCTGGCTGTCCTGGAACTTGCTCTGTAGACCAGACTGGCCTCAAACTCAAGGATCCGCTTGTCTCTGCCTCCAGCGTGCTGAGACTAAAGGTGTGTGCGACCACATCTGGCTTCTACCTCCTCTTTATAAGGATCCTGTGGTACAGTAAGACAATTCAGGACAATGTCCCTCTCCCCTCTGAGAAGTCACTTTTGCTGCATAAGGCCACACACCTTCGCAGGGCTGGGATGTGGACCTCTTTAGAGGGGTTGTTATTGTTGCGCCTCTGGGCGGAACAGGACTTGTTAGGCAGGACCTGGGAAGTAGTGGGGGAGGGTGTCTAGCAGAGTGGGGGTGGTCAGGATGGAACAACAGCAGCTGGCATTTCCAGCACCAATCCTGCCGTTAGGCATGGTGGGGCTGGGGGGTTGGTCTCCCTGGGGTAGCTACTGTTCACTGTCTGCTGATTTGCAGGCAAGGAAATGACCCAGGGAAGGCCCTCTGGGGGAGGTAAGAGCCAAGCCTGAAAGGGACAGACAGGTTTGGCCCCAGGGGGTAAAACACTCCAAGCCGCAGAACCTGTGGGTGTGAGGGCAGGGAGAAGGCAGACTCTTGTGGAAAGCGACTGATCTGGGCCTGGAAAGTAGGAGACATACATTCTGATGGAGGAAACCAGTTCCGACATCTCAGTGCTTTTACTCTGACATAAAGTACTACTGCTCCTAACAGTTGACAGTTAATCTGTGAGTCCTTAGTGCATGACGAGGCTCTGGATATTAATGACCCCCACTTGCTGCCTTACTTCTGATGCCTGATGCTGTCCCCCCTTCCCCCTCAGAAACACAGCACAAAGCAATAAAGTGTCTGAGTCACAGTAATGGTACCACAGGGGTGGGGGTGGGGGGTCCAGGCACAGGCCATCACAGTCTGCCCCTTTACGTCTGTTGATTAGGACAAGGTTCACTCCTAAGTGCAGAACCCTGTGCTTCAAAGCCCAGCCAAGGGATACACCACGCAGCCCATCTTGAGCTTTCGATCATGGGTTTGTCTGTGGTTTTTGTTTTTCTTTTGAGACAGGATCTTTCGTAGCTAGGCTGGCCTCCAGTTCCCTGTGTAGGAGAATGACTCTGAACTTCTGATTTTCTTGCATCTGTCTCCTGGGTTCTGGGATTATGGGCATAAACCCACCATACTTGGTTTTATGAGGGCTAAGAGTGGAACCCAGGGCTTTGTGCCTGTTTGGCAAGAACTCTACCAACTGGACCACATCCCCAGGCCTGTTTTTTGCAGGAAGTTCTTTTGTTCCAAAGAAACTGAGAGATGAGTCCAGTGCTCAAGATATCATGGACAAGCTGGGTGCCGCCTAGAGCAGCCTGGATGGGCCCAGCCGGTGACCGTATCTCCCAGCAGCTCCTAAATGCCTCGGTGAGACCATGTGATTCAGGCCAATGAAATAACCTTCCAGGCCCACTCAGCTGCTCATTTCCTACACCCTGGCAAGCTCAGGCAGATGTCACTTCCATGTCATTACACAGGTCACCTGCTGTGTACCCTCCCTGCGCTTCATGGAGGGCAAGGGTTCCGCTCCCTGACACAGAATCCTAGCACACTGGCATTGCCCGGCACACTTGATTCCATCAAGCACCTGCCCAAAGCTATTCTCCTTTTGCAACTGATCACCAACTTGTCTCCTGGTCAAGTGCTACACTCCTCTACCAGATCTGTGGCCTCCGACTCCCTGGAGGCAGGCGCTGGTTTGTTTTTTTTTTTTTTTTTTTTTTTTTTTTTTTGATATTTTTTTTCTTTTCATTTTTCTTTATAAGAAATTTTCTACTCACTCTACATACCACCCACAGACCCCCTAGCAGGCACTGTTTGCTTCATTCTACAGTTGAGAAGACTGAGGGACAGAGAGATTTAGTGCCTTCCCTATAATCACACAGCCAACAAGGCTGGGAAGTTGGATTTGAAACCGATGTTGGCCCAATTCAGGGACTGTTAATGTCCATCTTCCTCAACCAGGAAACCCAGCAGCGGCTAGCAGCCACCCCTGGGAATTTCTTAGACATGCAAATTGGGAACCTCACTCCAGACCGACTAAATGAAACTCCAGCGTGGTCCAGCAATCAGAGGCAAGCAGGCTGCGCAGAGGGGGTCGAGGATGTGCCCAAAAGTTAGACCCCAAACCCACACTCACCTCTGGCTCTTCAGCCTGTGAAATGCTTCTCCGAGCTACTGTGCCAGCAATTCACCCTTTCCTTCCTCTGAAGCCGGGTAGTCTATACCCACAGGCCCTGGCTTCGAGAGTTTAGTCAAATACTGGTGTGTGTGTGTGTGTGTGTGTGTGTGTGTGTGTGTGTGTGCTGCTGACTGTGGAAGCCAGAAGAGAGCACTGGACCCCTTGGAGATGGCGCCACAGGCACGGGTGAGCCACCAGATATGTGGTGAGGGCAACCTAGTCCTCATGATCTAGCAGCTCTTTCCCCCTTCACTTCAGGAGCAAGTGCTGGCGACAGGAGCCTGCCACGCCCCCCCCACGCCCCTCATCCAACAAGCTTTAGGGCTCAAACCCACGGACCATCCGGGTTCAACTGATTCCTGCAGCTGCCTCAACAGGACACCTCATCTCCTCCACCTGAAGCTCGTCCCCCCCCCCCCCCATCAGTCTGCCCAGCTGTTAGGACTTGGTTTCTCTGCCCCCATCCTGACGTTCTCCTTCACAATAGGAATTGGAGCAGAAAAGGAGCCTGAACCTCGATCCTGCTCTGCACCCCCAGGTTCCTCCAGGCAGTTCCTTCCCAGGTGGGAATTAACAGCTGCTAGCCCGGTGGAAGTCAAGACCTCTAGGCTCGAGTCTGACCAGGGCAAGAAGAGAGAGAGGTTTGAAAATATCCTGTGTGTGGAACAGCGAGGTAGGGCCATTCAGGAAAGGCACAGCTAAGGCGCTCAGACCCTCCAAAGAACCGAGTGGGACCCCATTCTTTGGGACAAAGACTCCCAGGGGAAGTGGGAGCCCTCTCCCCCTCTCCAGCTCCCGCCTGCCTTCCTCTCCCAGGAACTCTTGCAGAGAAACGAGAAGAACAGTGTCTAAGGTCGACGTCTGAGCACGGCCTGGGCCCTTTGCTTTCTCCATACAGCTCAAACACCCCTTCCTCAGGGAAGTCTTCCCGAAACTTCACTCTTAGTCCCCTGCACACACCTAGTCTACATTCCCTACCTAGCCCCTCGGGGAGTCTAGAGACCCCTCCGGAGCTCGGTTTTCTCCTCTGTAAAATCCGCTTTCTTAGTTCTGTGGCCCCAAGACAGGGAGCGCTCCATCATAGAGGAACCAGAAATACGCCCCCAGGGAACAGCATCCCCAAGCCAGACCTCACTGCTCCCCAACACACGCGATCGGTCTCACTCAGGGCGCAGCTGGGCAGGTTTCCCGCAACCTCCCTAGCTAACACTAGCTCTTGGCCAGGGCTTACCCCGGAGGTCCCCGCCCCCGCGCCACCAACTGCATATTAATGCTCAGCCCTTTGGCGCACATGTCTCCAATGCCTGCCAACACCCCAACTCCCTCAACCAACAAGGGCGTATACTGCACAGACCTTGAGGTTCCAGGAATTGAGGACCGCACAGGCCTCCGGTGTAGGGACTGGGTGAGGGGAATGCGGCTTGGGTCTTGCAAGGGACAGGTAGGCTCGCCGGGACATAGAGAAGACCGGGGCGGAGGCCTTCAGGCGCTGCCTGGTGCAGCCAGAACGGCACCCAACGCTTGCCATAGTCGTTCATCCCTTACTTTACAGGCGCAAATACGGCGCCCCGGGGGAACTTGGCAACCGGAGAAGTGCCCCAATTGCCTTTCGGGGAGCCGCTGCAGCGGGGCGCGCAGGCCCGGCTCCCCGTCCAGCCCCGCACGGCAGCTTCACCTACCTCCCGCAGGGGGACAGAGGCGGCAGCCGCTGCCCACGGTCGCAAGGATCCCGAGTAGCTTGCAGAGGCTCACGGCCGGGCGCTCCAGGGTGCAGGGCGGTGGATGATCGCGGGGCACGAGCTCAGGCAATTTAGAGCCAGGCTCCGGAAGCCGCGGTGGGACGCGTGGAGACGTCCGAGCTCAGGAGCGGAGCGCGAGCTGGAGCTGGGGATGCGGCTGCAGCTGGGACTGGAACTGGGGTTGAAGCGGCCGCTAGGACCCGAGCAGGGGCGGGACTGACGCACGGGGCGCACGCCTCGGCTCACGTGACCGCCTCCGGGTGGCCGTCACCTCCCTGCAGCTGCCACTTGTCTCCTGGCTCCCCCGCCTGTTGAACACTTCCTGAGAGTCTGGGTCTAAAGCCGTTAGGCTGTGTGAGTCTCTGGTCTTCCAGACCCAGGACCGGGCTCCGTGGCAGAATGTGCCGAGCATAACCTAAAATACTTTACCAGAAAATCTTCGGATTTTCCGACTTCTGCTTTGATGAAACTTACGACACTTCACAAAAAGGGGGAGAAACAAAAATTTTGTTGAAAAATGCCATGATGAATCCAAATTTGTGATAAGCTAATTTTTAAGGTTTAGACACGCCTGACAATTGCAAGTACTTGTGTAATTTTTAATTAATATTGTCATCAGGCCTTCCTGGACTCTCTGGAGAGAAAAAAAAAGTTAACAGTATTCTTAACTCTGAGCCTAGGACATGGCACATATTAGGTGCTTAATCTGTGGGAACTTGCGCATGGTGGTGGACCCATGCAGTCCCCAAAGGGTGGCAAATACAAGGCCAGCCTGGGCTACATAGTGAAGCCTGTTTCAAATGAACGTAATGAATGGAAGGGAGTACGGGAAGATGTGAAGACTGGAAACCAGTGGTAACAGCCGTGGATACTTTGATGTCATATCCTTCTGCATACTTTAGAAGTAAAAATCTAAACAGCTGCACTTTTTGAGCTGTTTGTCCCTCCAGCCAAATGTCAGCTCTAAAGATAGGCAGGCGTCACTTGCCCTGTCGTACAGACCATGGGACTGAGGCTTAGGAAGGTGTCGTGTACAGGAACACAGCCAGGAAAGGTGGTGAGCTATCCGATCTCAATAAAGACCACTGGCAATAGACCCTGACTCTGGAGCCTTCAGATTAAAGACCCAAAGACCTGGATCACCTTGGGGTTCTGCCATGCCAAGCACCAGGTGTGTCCTCTCCACTTTGCACCCTCAGAACCATGAGTCAAAATACACCTTTTAAAAATTAGTTTGCCAAGCGGTGGTGGCGCACACCTTTAATCCCAGCACTCAGGAGGCAGAGGCAGGTGGATCTCTGTGAGTTCGAGGCCAGTCTGGGCTACAGAGTGAGTTCCAGGACATCGAGAGCTACATAGAGAAAACCAACTCGAAAAAACCAAAAACAACAAATTACTTATTTTATGTGTATGAGTGTTTTGTCTGAGAATATCTAATCCTCAGGAACTGGAGTTACAGACAGCTGTGAGCTGCGTGCGGTGTGGATGCTGGGAATCAAACCCAGGTCCTCTGGAAGAGCAGTCAGTGCTTTTACTCCTAAGCTATCTCTCCAGTCCCCCACCCCCACCTCAACACACCACATATTTTGTTGTTTAAGACACACTGACCTCTACCTCCCAGTCAGCTTCCTGCCTCTGTGTACTAAGCTGCCATCCTGATAAACGCTGTCTTGAAAATCACCCAGTCTGTGCTGTTTAGGTTTGTCAGTTTGCCCCAAACATGCTTCATCTGGAAAGAGGAGAGACCTCAATTGAGAAAATACCTTCAACAGATGGCCTGTGTGCAATTTTCTCAGTGATTGGAAAGGCCCAGTTTACGGTGGGCATGCTACGCCTGGGTGCTATAAGAAAGCAGGCTGAGCAAGCCTAGCAGAGCTAGTCAGTATGCAGCGTTCCTCTGTGGCTTCTGCTTCTGTTCCTGCCCGCAGGTTCCTGCCCTGACTTCCCTTCATGATGGACTGTATGCTGTAAGCCAAAATAAATCCTTTCCTCCCCAGGTTGCTTTTGGTCATGGTGTTTTGTCACAGCAACAAAAACCCAACTAGGAACGGTACTGTGGCATTGTAACTGGTAACAGAAAGGGACCTCACACACGGGCAGTAATACTCCTTAAATTCTCATCACAACCTTATTGTACAGAAAGGGACCTCACACACAGGCAGTAATACTCCTTAAATTCTCATCACAACCTTATTGTACAGAAAGGGACCTCACACACAGGCAGTAATACTCCTTAAATTTTCATCACAACCTTACTGTACTCCACTTCGTACGCAGAACACTGGGGCTATGAATGTGACTTTTCCAGGTTTACACAGTAATGATAGAGGCAAGGTTTGGCCCAGATCTGGATATATTCTGACCCTTCTGTCCTGTAAGCCTTGGCTCTGTGGTAATGGAGAGCAGTAAATCCTGTTCTCGAAGGGGAAGTCAGCCCTTCAGACCTGAACACTATTGTCAGCATGAATATTCCCTGCAAAAAGTTGGACGTTGTTTTGTCTTTCTCTTTCTTTCATTTCTTTTTCTTCCTTCTTTTCTTTCTTCTTTTGAGGCAGGGTCTCTCTACATAGCTCTGACTGTTCTGGAACTCACTATGTAGACCAAACTGGCCTCTGCCTCCTGAGTGCTGGGACTAAAGACATGCCCCACAACATCAGGCAAGTTTGACTTTCTTGTTTAAAACCCCATGTTGCCACATGAACTCTGAGAGGCAAATGCTTCTGCCTGGAGCTGCCCAACATGACAGCTCACAGGACTTTTACCCCAGTCTGGCCTGCCTTCTGAAAGATCAGCCCCTGGGAACAGATAGGGTGCTGGAGCACTGCTCCCAGCTGGATTTACATTTTTGATTCCCACTTCCTAAATAGATAATGATGGTGAGCATGTTTCCAGGTATTCCTTAGATATTTGTATGTTACTATAGAGCCTAGCAACCCCTCTGTTATATGCCTAAAGGTAAAGGGAATATGCAGAGGAACTGGGGGGTCCACAGATGGCACAGGAGGTGAAGGCACTCATTTGCCAAGCCTGACAAATAAGCTTGAGTCAATCCTGGAACTCACATGGTGGGAGATAACTAATTTCTGCAAGATGGTCTCAACACACACACACACAGTAGCATGTATATACCTACACATACATGCACACACACAAAATAAATTACTGTAATTAAAAAATTAGAATATATACCCACATTAAAAACAAATAAACAATTATGTATGGAGCTGAATGTGACGGACATGCCTGTATTTCCAGAACTCAAGAAGCTGAGGCGGGGTGGGGTGGGTGGTGGTGGTGGTGGTGGTGGTGGGGCGGTGGG